ACTCTGTGTTCATTTAGCGTATTTGAATATTAAATTATTTCTGGTGATAAAAAACAGAGAAATAAGGTGTTACTTAGAGAATTCTAAAAATTGGCTGTAAAACTGAATGATAAATTTAAATGCAGAACAAAAGTTTCTGCCAATTATCAGAAAAATAACTGAAAACAAAGGTTATCAAACTGCAAGATCTAGAAGAAATATTTAAATTCAAAGTTATCATAATTGAAATTTTAGATGTTATTCTTTAGACAGTGACCAATAACTCTTCAAAATTTACTGGGTAAATTTTAGCTTAGTTTTGCCATATTTTTACTTTCTTATAAATAAATTAATATTTTTTTTAAGAAAGACATAATTTTAAAAAGTAAACTTTTTTTTTTTTTTGAGGTAATAGACTCGACAGGTATTCTTAGTTGCAATTTAAATATATGCTGTGAAAATCGGTTTTACAAGAAATAAAAGTAGTAGAATTCATTGTTTACAAAAGCGTTGTTCAAACAATGTTTTACTGCTTAATTACACTTTGAATATGCTGATATTACAAATATTATGACAACCAATTCAGAATGAACAAAAAAACGATAGTCAAATCAGTTTGTAATTATGTGAAAAAAATAAATTTACCTGTATGACGTTAAAGCACATAGATAAAAGAGCTAAACCGAAAAGAATGAGTACGAAATTAGCAAGCATCATATCCTTGTTCGATGGCACTACATCTCCCAGTCCGACTGTACTAAAATCTTAGAACTGTTAGTTGTATGAGCAAACAACTTAGTCGAAGGTATCGTGAATTTGAAAAAAAAACTTGTGAATGGCTGAGACGACAGTCTCACTGCAGTTTATTGCTGCATAAGAATTCCACTTTTTTTTGGTATTTGTTTTTCTTTTTTTATAATTTTATTACTCAAGATACAGTTGTGTGGTGAGAAAAATATTGTTTTAGAGTGGTGATTGATGTTAGAAGTATGACACAGTGTCTGAAATAAAAAAGTTAGGTAACTGTTAGAAGTACCGTTGAAAAGATCAACCTGATGGAGACGAAGAAAAAGTAGACAGACGTTAAAAATCCCCACTGTTTTTCCCATAAACAAAACAATGCTGCCGATAAAATAATCCATAATATTAATATTGCAAATGCAATTGTGATAGGGAAAGCATCAGTTTTGCTTCTAAACAATAAATATACTAATCAAAGCCATCAGATGTCATTTTTTCTCTGCTTTAAACTTCCAGAACACTCAAAGTAACTAAAATAAATTTTCAGGCTCTACCTTTCTGTTCGTTCATTTAGCACACCAATTTTGCCATTTTGCATTTTAGTCATGCTTTTTTTATGTTTTCCTGACAGATGTAGACTTGTCAAAAATACTGAACAGGTTGTTTGATAAATCCCCTAAATTTTTTAGATTACTGGTGGAAATTACAAATAGTTTTTCAGAAATAAACCAAAAAAAATACATTAAAAAAAGGAAAGAAAGCAGAATGCATCTGATAGACGACATATAGATAAAATAAAAAAGAAATTCTTTTTTTAGCTTAATATATTTTACCTTAACTGGCACACTCACTCGTTGAATATATGTATTTTCAGGCAGCTTTCTACGAGCACTTCGTATACGCTTATAAAGTTTACGAAAAAATTTCGACAGAAGAATACCAACATTTTTTAAAATAATTAAAAATATCGGAATACCCGCTAAAATATAAAAAATACTCGCTATTTGGCCTGCACGTGTCTTGGCTACTGGTAATCCATAACCTGTAAGAACAGCTTGTTTAGTCGTTTGAAAACCTTTATAATTGCCCTTTTTTCCAAACAAATTTTTGTTTTTTATTAATTCAAAATAGTTTCTTTTAGTTCATCTTTTATTTTTGACTTCGCTTTTACAAATTTAATCGAAAAATAAACACAACTTCTTACCTATAGTTGTATATAACTGTCCAGCATAAAACATAGAGCCATACCATGACCAAGGTGTAGGTTCTGTTTTCTCGTTAATCGTATGTGTCAAATTGAGGTAGTTAAATAACCATTGTATTCTCTCTACGGCTCTTTGCAAATCTTCGCTATACTTCGCATGACTAATATCGAATGAGCTCGCAGAGTTTATCGCCAAAATACTAAGAGCAGTCTAAAAAAATTTCTTTCTTTCCAAAGTTTTAACATTTACGTTTATAACCAAATATGACAGTTTTGCATTGACAAGTTGTATTTACTGAAGCTCAAGGTTTTGTTGAGATATTTTGCTCACACATATCTTAACTTGAACTATAAATATAAAAAATAAATATACTGAATATCATAAATAAAACAAATTTTAGCCTAGTTCTGAAAAAGAAAAAATTTATATTACTATTTAGTGTACCTGATTTAGTGCTCGTCTATATACCCTTCTGAAGTGCTCCCGTTCGCTACGATCCTTTTCCAGTTCAAGTGCACGAAACAAAGCAGCTCCAGCTATTGTGTAAGAAACCAGAGCAATAAATGGTAAAGCTGAGTCTAAGCGAAACCTCTTGTTTAATGACCTGAATCGTTGGTATAGATCGAACATTCCGAGCTGCTACTAGCTTGAGCAACTCATCGAATCTGTGTGTTTTTACAATATTCTGAAAAAATTGAGGTTCTGTAAAACAAAACAAGTAACAACCACTCTTGGACATCAATATTCAACGTTTTTATTGTGCTTCCCGGAACAGTAAAGCAAATAAAATTAGGTTTAGAAGAATCCTTGTTTAAAAAACAGAACAAACACTGCTTAGACAGTCCATAGTTTTTCATCTAGAATGCCCTTTTTTTTCAGACAAACAGATCTAAAAAAGGGAAAGTTGCTGACCAAAGTTGACAGTGCGGTGAGGAAAGAGTAAAAAACAAAAATATACCGTCTTTTCAGGGGTTATTGCATTGAAGCTTTACATCGTCGTAGTCTTAAGAGATGCATTCTGTAAAATAGGCTCTTCATTTTCGCCTTTCGGGAAACATCAATAACAAAAATGCAGAGGGAACAATTTGTCAGCTTTTTTTCCACTATGTTTGTTATTCTACCATTAAATTAAACAGTAGGAAAATATTTTCAAATTGTTTTCATTGTTTGTGAATTTTATATAAGAGCATAAATTAATTTTCAGTCACAATTTTGATTAATGTGAAAACAGTAAACGTAACAACACCTGTGCCTGCTAAAGTTCAGCTTAGGCAATCTAAACAATCCACCAATATATCCTTGGTGCCATAATTTGGCTTCTTTTTTCATGCAGACCTTTATTATACACTTTTTTTTTTTGTTACATTTAGTTGACAAAAAATAAAAATTAAAAAATTTTTCAACTCAAATTGATATTATAGGCAAAATTAATTCGCAATTTTTTGGTTATAATGCAAAACAGTTATGAGAAATCTAAAGAATTAATAAGCACAATATTACGTTGAAAAACTTCTCTTTTTCCAGTAATTATTATTATTTTTACGACAAAAATAGTTCACAGATACAATTTTTTTGTTCATCATAAACACGAGCTTCAAAAAGTTTTATTTAATTTTATTTAACATTGAAATTTAAGACATCTTCCTGGTTCACTGTAACAATAATTTATATTTTGATAATGATTAAAAAAACTGTTTTAGCTGCGTGCATTAGATGCAACAAAAAAAAAAAGGAAAGCTGTTAACAGAAAAAAAAAAAAAGATACATAAATCTTCTAAAGATAAAGAAAAATTCCTTTTGGAAACTTCTTCTACAACGTAAAGCAGTCATAGAAATTCAGCAGCTAAAATTTCAAGTTTATTCAATGCCTAGTGGCTGTCTATAGTTTGTTTAAGTTTCAACCAGCTGAGCTTAGTGACTAACCGCAAAAAAAAAAAAAAAAAAAGAACAAAAACTGAGTGTGGCAGCGACGATACTAAACACTAACGACAAAAAAAAAAAATGGAAAGAACTTGATTTTTAAAAGTTTTTGCAAATTTCTATTAGTTTAACATCTTATCCATATCAGAATTGCTGTCTGTGCCTTTGTTCATTCTTTTTTTCTAAAGATTTATCATCTTTTAGCTACTTGTAAAAGACAAAGAGAATTTTTGTTGAAGGAATGACCAAAATGACCCAACAGTACAGTGATGTTAAGCATATATCATTAGAATAATTGTACTAAAGATTATAAGAATATAAAGAGTTTTTGTGTTAACAAATACGATAAATAAAACAATTTTTTACTGCTGAATTCTTTATAAGCATTTTATTTCTACAAATTTCTGCAAAAAAACTTAACCTTGTTAACAACTTACCTAGTCAAAGGTTATTATATTCTAATACCAGCAAAATTTAAATCCAAATACTAGTTGATAATTTTTCTTTTTGATTTAAAAATTATCTAGCATTATAATTGAGATAACTCGTATCACGTTATCTGCATAATGATTTTATTCATATAATTGCTGAAGTCATATGTCTGCTATGTAAATATTCATTCGCACTTTTTAAACAATCTTTTTGAATGTTTTTTAAACTGATTGTTTTAACTTTTTTTTTTTGCTTGTTTTAAGTGATGAGTTTTGTTGCAAGTGGAGACAGAGCAATAGATAATTGAAAGAACAAAATGAAAGAAAAAAAAAAAGTAGAGGAGAAGAATAATTGCACTATTTGAATATAAATTGCATAATAGTTTTTTTTTTCTTTTCATTTGTAACAACAAATCTGATATGGAGTTAAAACTGGGCAATTGTGCTTAACCAAAAAGATTTGGTTACGTTAGCAACAACTGAATCTAAAACAGTGAACAGCTGTAATCGTTACAATGCAGATGAACTTTGATAACCGCATGGGACTTTCACTCCCCTATTTGGTGACAGGAAATAAAATGGCCTAAGCGAGAAGCAGCACAATTCATCACTGCCAATATCAGTGCACAAAATACGTCGACAGAAAATGTACATCAAATCAGAATCTTCTGTGACCCAACATCAGTAAGACAGACAAAGACTGCTTTAATTGTTCAATGATCATCCCAGCATTCGTTTCAGCTAGTTTTCAGTATAAGTAAGGTATAAATGTTGTTTTAAAAAATGCCAAATTAGCTCCAAATTCAGAGACTGGAAAAAAGATAGCAGTAAAGTTGCCGAAAAAAAAAAAACGATTGATATTTGTTAAGACAGCAAAAAAAAAAAAAAAAAAAAAA